TGCCAGAGAACGTGAAAAGAAAAGTAGCTATAGCGCAGGAGGTGGGCGCCTCGAACTGGTTAACAACGTTACCGATAAGGGCAAAAGGCTTCATCCTTAATAAACAAGAATTCACAGATGCCATTGCTCTAAGGTACGGTAGGCCAGCAGAAGGTTTGCCCTCCCAATGCGTGTGAGGCTCATCCTGCGACATCGACCACGCCATGGTGTGCAAGAAAGGGGGCTTCGTATGCATGAGGCATGACGAAGTAAGGGATCTAACAGCAAATCTACTAAGGGAAATCTGCCACGACGTCATTGTGGAACCGCCCCTCCTTCCATTGGACGGTGAGAACCTCCGTCACAGGACTTCAAACACATCCAAAGAAGCCCGTGTGGACGTCAATGGTCAAGGATTCTGGACGCGGGGACAGTGAGCCTTTTTTGACATAAGGATTTTTTATCCCATGGCCGCATGTCACCGCAACCTAGCTCTCGATGCTGCACACAAGAGGAACGAGAACGACAAGATTAGGGCATATGGGGAGAGAATTCAGAACGTTGATCAAGGCAGCTTCACTCCCTTGGTGTTCACAACCTCTGGCGGGATGGGACCAAGTGCAAGATGCTTCTACGCCAAACACGCGGAGGTGTTATCTGAACAGAAGCAGCAGCCCAGAAGTTATGTTACAGCCTGGTTGAGATGTCGACTATCCTTTTCTCTGCTCAGGTCTGCATTGCTTTGCCTCAGGGGAACGAGAGCATCGGCCTCAAAGCCGACAACAGTCGACTTTGAGGCAACAGTCACTGAATGCCGCATAGATCTGCCGCTCAACTTACTAAGGTAATAAAATGGCGGCGAAGGTGTGGCTATTGAGGGAGACTGGAGGCCACTTCAAAAAAAAAAAAGTAATCGTAGAAGAAGTAGTAGTAATAGAAATAGTAGTAGTAGTAGTAGTAGCAATAGTGGCAGTATTGTTGTTGTTGTTGTTGTTACTGTTGTAATTATTATTTATAATAACAATAATAATAATAATAATAATTATTATTATTATTATTATTATTATTATTATTATTATTATTATTATTATTATTATTATCATCATCAATTGTCCGTAAATTTACACAACAAAAAGAGATATTGAGCCAACAGGATATAGATTGCATAACTTGAGTCTGCACATGACTTATGTGTCTCAGTCTTAATATATCGTTGCAGGAAAGTGGTGGAGGGCCGGGGTGTGGTAGAGGGCCGGGGTGTGGTGGAGGGCCGGGGGTGGTGGAGGCCGGGTGTGGTGGAGGCCGGGTGTGGTGGAGGTGGGGTGTGGTGGAGGGCCGGGGTGTGGTGGAGGCCGGGGTGTGGTGGAGGCCGGGTGTGGTGGAGGGCCGGGGTGTGGTGGAGGGAGCCAGGGGTGTGGTGGAGGCCAGGGTGTGGTGGGTGTGGTGGAGGGCCGGGGTGTGGTGGAGGGCCGGGTGTGGTGGAGGCCGGGGTGTGGTGGAGGGCCGGGGTGTGTGGAGGCCGGGGTGTGGTGGAGGGCCGGGGGTGTGGTGGAGGGCCAGGGGTGTGGTGGAGGGCCGGGGTGTGGTGGAGGGCCTGGAGGGCCGGGGTGTGGTGGAGGGCCGGGGTGTGGTGGAGGGCCGGGTGTGGTGGAAGGCCGGGGTGTGGTGGAGGCCGGGGTGTGGTGGAAGGACGGGGCGTGGTGGAGGCCGAGGTGTGGTGGAAGGCCGGGGTGTGGTGGAGGCCGGGGTGTGGTGGAGGGCCGGGGTGTGGTGGAGGGCGAGGCTGTGTCACCTGTCATATAATACGATGCAGTAAATCAAGAGAGATAAGAGATGCAGGACCTGGAGGAAGAGTCACTCATCAACCTGTTTACGAAATCCAACGAGATAGCATCCGAGAGTAGCATGCCAGAGACGACCATGTGGATAAATCTCTGACTTGCCCAAATATATTAAACACGCCAGAAGCTGTGATAATGCTGGGGGAAGAATGTGTGGTCGTGGGGAAAGGGGAGGGTCAAAAGGTCAAAGGAGAAGATGGAAGAGGAATTTACGGGTCACTAAAAAAAAATGTTGAGGATGAAAGGAGGGTTTGCTGGAGTCTGTATAAATAAAAAAGAAAACATGGAGAGGAATGTAGAGGAAAACTAAAGCCAGTCAGACGTCAAAACAGCAACTGCAAATATATACGTAAGGAGGTAAAGACACATTTTCCTCTAACAAAATTATTGAGTGGCCAGGTTGAAAAACACGGAGAGTGGGGCACTTACGGTGGCTGAGAGCAGGTGAGGCTCCCGCTGTGGCTGAGTGTTGCGGGGAGGGTGGTCGGCGGGCCCTCACACCCACCACCACACAGACGACTCTTGCTAATACCTGCTGGAGCTCTGGTGGTACTGAGTAATGGTGGTCGTCCGCAGAGTGTGAGTGCTCATGAAGTAGTCCCTTAATTCTGGTCGAGAAACAAAACATTTAGTGGGATAGTCACTTTGTAGGATAATCTGCTGCATCATTATAATACTGTACATAAAAATAATGTAGACCTACGATAACTAATATACACAACAGGTAGAGTCACGGGCTTTAATACTAAGACGTGATATACAATGTGTGTGTGTGTGTGTGTGTGTGTGTGTGTGTGTGTGTCCTTGGTGATGTCGTGATGAAGAAGAGTTCCAAAGTAAACCATAACATTATAGGAGGGTCACTTTCTCTTGTGTATATTCAACAAGCAACAACAATATGCCCCCCACAAGTCCCACTACCAGAAGGTGGAGCAGGGACACGGAAGGTAATGAGGTACTGTCTTTATTAATATTCATCTCGCCGGGTGGGGTGGGAGAGACACACGTGGTGGCGGGTATCAAGTCCCAGTAAGAGAAACCATTATACGTTCCTTCATGTCTGGATACTTAATGCGGGACACAACCACGATACACGAGTCGTTTCACAATACATTCCCAATATATCTTCAAATGTCATTCCTGATCGTAACAATAGTGTAGTTAAAATTATTGTACTATCTTTTAATATATGGTTCACTGGGACATTGAAAATAACACAGCCCATATCTGTAATTATTCCTCCACAAAAAATAAGAAACAAAATCATGACAGTCACCCATTATAATACGTATTTCTTTCTCATCATCATCATCATCATCATCATCATCAGCTGAGGGGTTATGAGTATTACCGCATCACTAGACTCTTCACCTTCAGTACACAAAGTTAATCTTACTGGTGGTGAGCGCGTGGTACTACTAACTCCTTATAGAGAAATAATCAATCCCGTCTTATGTTACTTTCCAACTGCAGCACCCCGTCGTCCACAGCTTCAGAGAGAGAGAGAGAGAGAGAGAGACGTAAGGGAATCCCCAGCAGGACAAGTTAGCATCATGCCCTTACTAAAAAAAATAAAAAATGATTTATATTCCAGTTCACATTATTGTCTTGTAGTTCAGTATAAACTATTTTGTCACACCGCTGGATTGTATTTGGATCTCTGTTCGGGGTGTAGACACGCTGAATTTGTCCACATTAAAGTGTATCAACTCCTGATTCAGTGAGCCAAGATTGGAACGTGTAAGTTGTTTGGGCAGCCTCGAGTCAACTAAACCTTGAGTAAACCTAACACAGTCAATAGATTAGAATTTAGGTGACTTAACCAGAATCAAACGTGATGATCTAAGAAAAAAAACCTGAAACATATTGATGTTATAAGGCCAATATTAAACTCGTAAGGCCAATATTAAACTCGTAAAGCCAATATTAAACTCATGCCAGTATTTGAATTCAACAAACCAAAAAATGGACATAAAAACAACACTGAATTCAATAAAATAATACAACATTCACTTAACTATTTAGACATTAAAACTAATCAGCATACAGGGTCACCACCTGAGGGGAGGGGCACCATTACGAAATAAGAAAGGCATCATTTAAAGGATATTAAAGAGCGTCTATCTTACTTCATAAGCATTAAACTCACCCCCTGATAGCATTGTCCAGGTTCGGTTTCATTTGATGTGGTTTGGTGTCGGATCACGAGGGTCGACTCCACCACGGGTACACTCTTGACCGACGGCAGCAGCCACATCACCAACGAGATTACTCCAGCTTTTTCTCCACCTGGATAATGAATTTAAACAGGATTTAGATCCGGGTTGGTTTTCAAATAGGGAGATGATTTGACTGGTAAAATGACGGAGACAGACGCTAGATTCGTGGCTGGTAATTACTCACCTGATTGGAAGATGACCTTGACTCATTAATGGTTATTGGGTTTTACCAGATTTTTTTTTTCATCGGTGTTGTCCTCTTGGCAAGCGTCGAGCCGGGGAAGTCTCCTTATTTTTTACCAATTTGGAGCTATTTGTCTACTTATGTATTTTCATTTGCTTATTTATTAATCTATTTGAATATGTAGTTACGAAAGTGTTAACCCCTTCACCCTTATTTGATTAACGCCGGACGATTTTATTCAGATCAGAGGGGACCCCATACACAAGGATTAATTGTTTATTTAATAACTGTTTACGAGAATCTGGTAAATTGTAAATATTGACGTTTCTAGCGATAGTCGGTTAATTATCACTACAAAGTTGACGCGTCAGCAGATATTTGAACTGTATGTGTGTTTTGGAACGCGTACACAACCTCTCACCCTACACACACACACACCCTACACACACACACACACACACACACACACACACACACACACACACACCTTCGAGTCCATAGTGGTGCCTGGTGTATACAGTTGAGATGGGAGACAAGGAGAGGGTTCTCGGTCTAACACACAACAATGCCACTCACCAATACTGTAACAAAGGTCTAACTACGCGAACACTAAAATCTAACAGTATTTGACCTTTCGTGGATGACCTTGATACCCATAAAACATTGGACATGGTTACCTTCACTTCCTTTATTTATCTTTAAGTGCCTCCGATTTTCTTGTTCTTCCATGAGTCGTGGTGTACTGACCACTGATAGTGTTTTCTTGTGCATGTACAGGAGTGTGGGAGCGGGTCGGTGGAGCGTCTGCTGTGGTCGCTGCAGGAGACTATGCAAGGTGGACCTCGGTCATCCCAGCTCTCTGAGGCACTCAAGCACTTCAAGAGTTTCTCCTGCACGGCGCGTCAGGATGGCGTCTATCCCGACTTGGCCTCCGGCTGCTCCCTCTATTATAGGTAAGTTACCGTGACTACCAAAAGAAAGGTTAATATGCACCCCTTTAAACATTCCGTCTTGTAACAACAAGACAACAGACTAAAGTCGCTACAATAATAATAATACTGTAAAGTCTATAGACTATAATATCATTTGCAAGTTATACTTTTTTCTTAAATTGTTTATTCGTCGTTCAAAACATATATTCTGTAATAACAATATTTCATATTTGTTGTCGTGAGCACTCCTCAAGTTACCCTCTAGTCATATTACTTCGTGAAAGCTAATTTAGAAATATATGTATGAATGTCATTTGTGCTTTTTATCCAGCAATATATTGAAATACACTTTATATTATTTAAATTTATGATTTTATGAACTATTGTGCTGGCATAAGACTTGTGGCTTTGGTGTCAATTTGTGAGAAATTGTGGATTCCAAATGGAATGAGGTGAAGGGGGCGGGCACCAACACACAGACGGTCTCTACTTGTGTAAGCAGCGTTCATCAAGGTGTGGGGACAGGCAGGTGTCTGGGGCTTTATAATAACCAAGTTACAGCTTCAGTGGTCGACCGTCACTACAGTACTAGAGTGACGTATAGGAAGTGACTCCGCCTCAAAGAGGAAGGTTTTCATTCTGAGGGAGATGTGATCTTTGTCACGTTACTGTAGCGGCTGTGGTTGTCCGACAGGTGTCTGCATGGGGCGGTGTACTCGTACTCGTGTCCGGCCGGTGAGGCCCTGGACTACGGCAGTGAGGAGTGTCGCCCGGAAGGGGAGGTCACCTGTCCTCCCCTGCCCCCCACCTCCCAGCCCTGCCACAACCAGACCAGCGGTTACTACCCTGACTACGTTCAGGGCTGCAGGGCTTACTACAGGTAGGTACTGTTTACCTGTGTTATATACACACATGGGAGTTTATGTTCCAGAGGTAACATTTTATAACAAGTTTTTTAATACCACTGACTACTGTGCTGCTTGTGAGTCGCTAAGAGATGAAAGTAAGATAACTTCTCATTCTGAATTTTTGGTGTTAATATTAAGCACTATCATTCACAGTAACTTCATAATTATTAAAAAAAAAGTAAATCACTTTCTATTGATAGCAAACTTTGTAGGTTGTAGAGTATGAGTGTATTGTAGTGTTTGTTGGCCTGACACCACTATGGTCACCTTACAGGTGTATCAACGGGAGTGTGTCGGGACGATGGTGGTGTGACGACGGGGCGCTGTGGGACGCCTCCACGGGGTCCTGTGGGAAAGGTCCTCGCTTAGTATGCTCCCCTCCCTCCTGTTGGGGACTTCCCGACGGCCCACACCCTGCTCCTGCGACCTCCTGCACCTCCTACTTCACCTGCAGCGACGGCGTCAGGACCGACCATGTTTGCCCCTACAACACTATATTTGATTACTCTTTAAAGGTACCACACGAGTCGCTTCTCATTGTTTACATTAAACATAGTTATTTAGATTTAGATTTTATTAATTCCAAAATTTCAGAAACTATACGGCAGAAAAACTATATAACTTGGTATAACACTACTATAACAAAGATGAAATACAACACTATAACAACCACCATCACAACAGTACACACCAACCACTAACACAACAGTACACACTAACCACCATCACAACAGTACACACCAACCACCATCACAACAGTACACACTAACAACCACAATCACAACAGTACACACCAACCACCATCACAACAGTACACACCAACCACCATCACAACAGTACACACCAACCACCATCACAACAGTACACACCAACCACCATCACAACAGTACACACCAACCACCATCACAACAGTACACACTACCAACCACCATCACAACCATAACAGAACACATTAATAACCAGTAAGAGAGAGTTGGTCAGTATCCCGGTAATCCCGATGTTAAAATCACTCTCAGACTGTTAAATATAATACATGATTGTCATTCAAGTCTTTGTTTACTTTCCGACCCTGCAGCCACCACCTTGTTTACGTCACAGTGCTGCTACTAGTGACACACATTAAGTGGTTCTCATGTATGAATGAGGCCTTATGTCACGACAGGAAAATGGATGCCATAGACAACATAAAATTTCAAGTAATTTGTTTAAAATACTCTTACAGTCTACGTGTAAGTTTGACCCAAGAGTGAGCTTCAGGGTTGTCATGAGTCTGGGTTAGTCAGGTGTCTTTCTAACTGTCTGTCTGTTCTATTTTCAGTTACTTGTAGGTTTATAGATGTAGTTAGTGTCTTTTTCATTAGGTATAGTTATCATGGAGACGTCTTGCTGAGTGCTTCTTTAGCTATGGGTAATAACGAAAGGTGTTGGCCGGACAGTACCTCTGACTATATGTTCTTGTTGCTAACTGATGTATCAATATTACAGCGGTGTGTGGCCAGCACGTCGTCTGTGTGCTACGAGCAGGTGTGTGACGGGCGAGTGAACGGCCTGCACGCTGCCCCACATGCACCATGCCACTCTTTCTTCCGCTGCTTCAACGGCGCTCTTGTCAAGCTGGAGGAGTGTCCACGACACCAGGTGTTCGACGGCCGTCGGTGTATCTCAAGTAGTAACTTCTCTTGCTGGGGTGAGGGCCGGGGGACCTGTGAGGGACGAGACGATGGATTTCACGTGGCCTCCGATTCTGACTGTCGTGGGTTCTTCGTGTGTCGCCACCAGCAGTTTATCCGCTCCTTCATATGTTCACCTGGACTTGTTTTCAATGGTCGGGAGTGTGTGGATGACCAAAACTCTATCTGCACCTCTCGGCCGCGCCTCCCAGACTGCACTACCAAGATTGATGGGTACTATACTCTCGAGAAGACTGGCTGCAAGACATTTTTCTATTGTCGAGGAGGAAGCAAGCTGAGCGAGCACACGTGTCCAGGTAGCCACGTGTTCAACGGGGAGCAGTGTGTGGACCCTATGTTGTACCCGTGCCCAGGCCGAGCAGGCCTTCAACACCCGAGAAACTTCACCAACAGAGTCGTCCGATCTCGAAGAACACGTGATGCTGACTGTGGTTCACACCCCAATGGTTACTACCTTGACGTAGCCTCCCACTGTACGCATTTCTTCTACTGCCGTGGAGGGACAAAGGAGTTGACTCAGTCTTGTCCTTCTCAGCAGAAGTTTAATGGCCACCGCTGTGTACCAGAAGATGACTACCAGTGTCCAGTCATTCCTGGTGCACCAGAGTGCACCTTGCGAGGCGATGGAGTCTATCAAGACGTACAAGAATCTTGCAGTTCATATTACCAGTGTATCTCTGGCGTCAAGATGAGATACAAGTGTCCCGAGGGTCAACTTCACGACGGACAGGTGTGTCGGGCGGCCTCACAGGTGTACTGCCCGTCCTCAACGCTCTGCTACTACCGCGACAACGGCAACTTTGTAGATACTGATCGAGGGTGCCAAGGCCACTTCCTCTGTCAGAATGAGACGCTAATGTGGTACCGTATGTGTGGCCTTGGTGAGGTTTACAACGGGCAGGAGTGTGTACCACACTTTTTCTACACTTGCCCAAGCGGCGTCGACACAGCTTGTGTGGCCAAAGCTGACGGGTTCTACCAGGACCTATTATCAGGGTGAGTCCCTTCTTATTTATGTCTGTCACATAATATGCTCCCAAACACTGGTGAAAATCACACCTCCAACACTTTATTGCCGACTGAAATATAATTGACAAATTCCAGTATCGTGCAGCATCAACAGACGTCTCTAGAACCTCTTCGCTAAAAGTGAGTTCATATTACAGGTGCCGGCAGTACTACAGGTGCAGCGACGGCGTGCAGCTGCAGAAGCAGGAGTGCCCCCGTAGTATGGTGTTCAACGGTGTGGCCTGCGTCAGACACTCGGCCTACGTATGTCCTGCTGATGGCGCTAAGGACTGTGGATCAAACCAGCGGGGCTTCTTCCAGGACGTCCAGTCAGGCTGCAGCAGGTGAGGCGGTGTCTGGTGTGACCCTTGTTGCCCGGAGGTTGTCAGTCTCTCTCTCTCTCTCTCTCTCTCTCTCTCTCTCTCTCTCTCTCTTTCTCTCTCTCTCTCTCTCCCGGAATTAAAACCAAACAAAGACTTCCTGTTTTCTTCTTCAATTAATCCCTTAGACATTAGCTTCTATATCACCCAAATCACTAGGTCACATCTTGAACATCCTGAAGAACAAATTATCCTCTTCCTTCTATCATAACATCATAATAACACCTACATTTACACCACCTTATAAATCTAAAATGTTATAGAGCAAATGTCATAACCCCGAGACACGTGATAACCCCGAGACACGTGATAACCCCGAGACACGTGATAACCCCGAGACACGTGATAACCCCGAGACACGTCATAACGACACGATAACCCCGAGACACGTCATGATAACCCCGAGACACGTGATAACCCCCACGTCATCACCCCGAGACACGTGTGAGACACGTCATAACCCCGAGACACCCCTGAGACACGTCATAACCCGAGACACGTGAGACACGATAACCCCGACACCCGAGACACGTCATAACCCGAGACACGTCATAACCCCGAGACACGTCATAACCCAGAGACACGTCATCACCCGAGACACGGACACGTCATCACCCCGACGACGTCATCACCCCGAGACACGTCATCACCCGACACGTCATAACCCCGAGACACGTCATCACCCCGAGACACCCCGAGACACGTCATAACCCCGACACACGTCATCACCCGAGACACGTCATCACCCCGAGACACGTCATAACCCCGAGACACGTCATCACCCCGAGACACGTCATCACCCCGAGACACGTGATAACCCCGAGACACGTCATAACCCAGCGCTCTTCTGTTTACTCTTGTCTTTACACTCCACTCACCTTCTAATTGTCTTAAATCCCTCAGTAGCCTCGGGAATGTTTATACAACAGGTGTCATATATCTCATATACAGCACGTTGTGTATCTCTCTCTCTCTCTCTCTCTCTCTCGGCTCCTGCGTGTCCGGGAATTTTTTTTTTTTTTGATTCAGAACAAAATTCCTCAGGTTGGTGTACCTCTCTCTCTCTCTGCTTGTTATAATCTCACTATTTACTCTTATATAAACTTACGTTGATGTATAAAATTGGATATTTTTTATTGTATTTTTCAAGCATTTACAAATACCTCTATCTCATACTCTGCAGCCACAGTAGGGAGTAACATCACCTTTGTTATATATCAGTGTAAGAAAAGGAAAAATATATCTTGATTAATATAATTCCTCAAAACCAGAACCTTTAGCCAGCCCACATATACAACACAACACGTTTTTCCTTTATACTGTCAATATTACCATGGATTTCAAATCAAACTTTCTGACCTTGTAACTCAGGAAGTCTTGTCGCCACCCAACAGTGTTTAGGTTCCTCTCTTTGGAACGTGTATCTCTTTTACTCCTCTCGTTGGTGGCGCTGCTTGACCTTGTTTATGTATTGTCCTCTGGTGTACACACAGGCCTGGACGAGCCTAGCCTGTATGTTACGGCTATCTGCGTCATCTTCTGTTTGTAATATCTATACAACACATTTTTATGCTTGTCTGGCACATTAATAAAGCAGCCACTCTCTCAACAGGTACTACTACTGCTACGACGGTCGGAAGTTCTACCAGAAGTGTCCAGATGGCAAAGTGTTCAACGGCCACACTTGTGTACTCAGCAGCCAGTACCGATGTCCTGTGTATCCGGTGGCAAGAGGAGGTGAATGTAGCGGCGTCGATGGCTACTATCCTGACCTCAGCACTGGGTGTAGCAGCTTCTACTACTGCCGCTCTGGTCGTCGCATCAATTATACGTGTACTGAGGATCGAGTTTTCAATGGTGTTCAGTGTGTACCCAAGAATCAATTTAGCTGCCCGACCATTTCCTCTTGTAAGAACAAAATCAACGGATTCTATCAAAACATCTTATCCAGATGTCGTAAATACTTCTACTGTTACAGCGGTTTCAAATATGAGCACACGTGTCCAGGGAATCAGGTGCACAACGGCAGGACCTGCGTGCCGGCCTCCACCTACACCTGCCCGAGCGTCACAGAGGACCGTGACTGTATGGGTAAACACACAGGTTATTATCCTGATACAGCGTCTCTGTGCCAGAAATATTACATCTGTGGAGACGGAGTAAAGTTACAGACTCTGACTTGTCCCCAAAACCAAGTCTTCAATGGCCACTCTTGTGTACCTTTCTACAGCTACTCGTGTCCGTATCCTTGGAAGAATCCCCAAGATCATCAAAATATAATAAATGTTCCGTCACAGCAGTTATTGTCCTCGGAGGATGAAGAGAAGGGTGAACTTAGGTCTGTTTATGACCCTACTCTCGTGTCCTCGGCCCAAGTTGTAGTCTCAAAATCAGAGCCGTCAGTAGACCTACAAGTTTTCCATGATAACAGTCGGCATGATATACCAGATGAATCTAAAGACACACTTCTGCCAGCTGAGTATGCATGTTTAAATCTCCCTCGTGGAAGTTACTCCAGTATAGATGCTCAGTGTCAGCGGTTTCTGGAGTGTGGTGAGCGCCCGAGGTGGCTCATGTGCCCGTCACCCCAGGTCTTCAGCCCCGTAAGTAATGCATGTGAGCTGCCAAGTCACGTCACCTGTCCCACTCATAACCCATGCCAGGACTTGGATGACGGCATCTATGGCGAAACAGAGAGCCAGTGCCGTGCCTTCTACACCTGCCGTAACAAACACATACACTTGGTAACTTCATGTCCTGAGGGCCAAGCCTTTAGCCAAGTTGAGGGAAAATGCCAGGAAGCAGGTCAAGTTGTGTGTGGTGGAGGGACTTTTGTAGCTGCCACGTAGCAAACACTGTTGTCTCCCGTCACCTCAACACACACCCATTTTCCGTCCTGCACAACCTCAGGCCCTCCCTTCTTGCCACATCGATACGTCATCTATGCTTGAATTTACCGAAGAGTTTGCTTCCATTGTTTATCGTTTAGGATAGTAGCCTGTGTTCTGGTGAAGGTGTGGCGTCGCGGCCGTTACTGGCGCTTCCTCAGGCATATTGTGCTGCTGGCTGGTGATCAGCCCCGGGCGTGGACCTCTGGCTGGTTTGGTCAGGTGGTGACGCCTCTAAGGGTATCAGCCGTGCGGCGGCCTGGCGGGTCCAGTAGGCAGGTGCGTCATACCATGGCAGTAGCCAGCATGTTAGAAACGTTTGTATAGTACAAGCCAAACTTGTAGGCAGTTTTCTGCCCAGCTACAGTCTGTATAACTATATTGTAATGATGATTACTATTTGTACTTTCTATGAAAGACTGCTATAGATGTTTCGTGTTTACTAATAGTGTCAAAGGTCAAATATATTTTTCCATTTCGTGTATGACCATAACCAAAAATATATTATGATACACTTGTAAATGTTCATTGTATTGTGTCTTTGTGGTCATCGTCTAATATTTATTCTTCTTGTCAAATATTGTTTGATTGTCCTTACATGGATAATTCTAAGAGATTTATTAGTCTGATAACATACATCACCTAAAAGACGAATGGCTACAAAGCTCAGGGTTACAATTACCTGTGATCTTTGCACTTCCTGAGCCGCCACCGTGAGTGCTGGTACCCTTCACAACAACTGCTTAAGATGATGATGTCTGAGAAGTCCACACCTCCGCCACCAGCACCACCTTCACCTGTCAGAGAGAAGTGTGAGTGTAATACAGCAGTGAATGTCGGCAGGAGGTGGAGGGGTGAGCTGTTCAGGACACACACACACGCCAAGTCCCCCCCTCCTTGTGCCATTGTTAATGATCAGACTTAACTTAAAATTAAAAGTAATAAGGTTCACATTATATTATTCGTAAACTTTACATTATTTTGTGATTAAACGTTACATCAGGACAACGTATGGTTTTATGTGTAAACTGTTTTTAGTAAAGTAATCCACTTATATTTTTAGCCGGTCTTATGTACACTACAAAGTATGCATTACTTATACTTGTGTGTTGTCACTGCAGGCAAGACAAGTGTGAGGTGTATGTCAATAAGACCAGGAATGTTGTGACCACAGAACGAGTCTACCGAGTCAAACAAGAGCTCAGCTACACTTATGCCATCGGACAACTAATTACGGTCTGGTTCTCGGTAGACCAGTCCTTATTGCCAGAGAATTTAAAGACAAAAACATTGTTAATGGGTGAGAGACATATGTGCAGGGACACAATCAGACAAAGATCAAATAACATGTATAAGATATCCTCAGTAACATCTAATAATAAACATAATTCACCATCACCCTCACAGGCTTTATAACTTAACTGATTCATTTAGATGGTCACTTCACTGTCAGGAGCTATAGGACACTCAGAAGTTAAAGGCAATAGGATGACAACAAGGCCACTGCGCACTCGTGATAACTGATTAACTTGGGAGTTGGGTGTAGAAAAAAAGAAGTTTTCAGTTTCATAACATTTTGCCACTCGTAATCATAATTTAAACAAAGCAAATTTACGTATTCTCTCTGTTTGTGTATTATTTTAATAGAAAGGATTATTTTGTAATTAAAGCTTCCATAAAAAAAAAAGAAATAAAAGATACCCAAACGTGATCAAGCAGTACATTGTATTGGTAAAGGTTTGGGACACTGTGTTCAGTTTGGAGCCTGAAAGGTTAACACTTTTCAACACCTGCCACGCTGGACGATGACTTCAGGCCCCTAGCGTATATAGGAGCAAGGGGGAAGGGGGCAATGTTTCCATGCACCCCGAGCCTTTTGCTACTGCCCTTAACTCATTCAACCTAACGCAACCAGTTCACAGGGACATAAATGCTTAAAAATTAATACAGGCTAATAGTCAAGGGGAAAAGCCTCCAACAGAACAGATATTTCCGCCAGAGTAATATTTCTGAACTGTGCAGATTGGACGATATTTTATTTTCACACACAAAACTCAGTGTGGGCAGCGGTAAATTATACTTAAGCTTCCCCTCACCAGATCCGCGGACAGCAATGTAGAGAGTGGTAACGTTTGCTACGGGATGAAATACTAATATTGGCCATAATATGTCCTATTCATTTCAGATGGCCTCAAAAAGTCCTTGAAATTGGTCAAACTTCAAAATTATATTGGAGGAGGGGGGGGGGGGTTACAACTCGCTACCCTCGCCCCCTGCTTAAGCCACTGGATGGAAATAAATAATGTTCCTATCTTCAAGTGTTGGCCGCACCTCTTCACAAACTTGTATACGCCACCGGGTCTATATATATCAAGAGTGTCCTTTCTATGTATAACAACAATGGAAGAAAGTGGGATAGTATATTTAAGGGTTTTTCATAGGCGGGGTTTAACAAACTGTCACGGCCACTACTGAATATTCATCTTCCAGCAGTGCTTCAACCCCTAGGCACGTTAATCAGACTCACGTTCTGAAATAACAGCTTTGTTTAACAGACCAGAATCATATCGACAAGCCTTTGCTACCTCCAGTTGACTGTTGAAGATGACATTTCCATATAATTACATTGTGAACATGCAACCAAGGACACTGTTCATTAAATCGTATAATCAAGGTTCGAAGTAACACCAGCTTGTGACAGCTAAACTTAATATATTTACCCAAATAATTTAATAGCTTATGCCTTAATTCCGTTATATTGCTCTCCCTCTGTTCACAACATATCACCCAACATTCACCCTTAACACTGGTGAACAAATTGATACTAAAACATGAGACACATAATGGATGAAATAAGCTATAGTCACACATTCCTGATTCCAAGTTCACACCCAGTGTCTGCCTGGAGAGAGAGAGAGAGAAAGGCAACAACAGTACATCTTTCTCAACCAAAATATTAACTCAAAACTTGGTTCATTGAAAACTGCTTTTGCAACAGTGACTGATACAAAATTAATATGCATCACACATCTTTTATTATGTAAATACATAGACGTAGCATTACGCATTCACATTTTACCTCCTCCACATACAGTAGTTTCACTGAATACTGTACAGTACAATTGAGAGTAATAAGTTTCCTTTGCTCCGCGCTGCTCCTTCACCACCACCTTGACTGATACTTTACAGATGTTGCTTTAAATGTGACATACTTTTATCACACGTAATTAGACTTTTCCTCTTGGTAACTTGATCTTCGTGAAAGTATACAGTGAAGCACCGCAGATTTTTTTCGACCAGTGGATGGCCAGAGGTGCCAGTGGCTCTCGGGTTTGTGTCCCGTTTTCTCTGGCCATATGTACTGTACAGTACAGTAAGAGAAAACAGCCCTAGTAATTATTACGATAAATGTATTATTCATCCAATATGGCGATGTAAATGTAATTACTCTGATGCTCTCAAACAACTCTTGAAATATTGTATTAACAATTCAGGTACGAAATATGCTTTTCGTTTTCGGAGAACAGTAAAATATGAACAGGCGCTAAATCTTAATAATTTATATGTTGGCAGTGTCTTGGTGGCCAGAGTTTGTTTCAACAACTCCAATGTATAATAAGAACTGCTGGCAAATACTCCCTCACTCAGCTTATTACCCGTCATGTGAGCGTACGTCAATGGCGTTGTTAACACATTAGAGGCGTTCGGCGTCACTGTCTCCAATCTAGCTTGTATTGTGGATATACTTACGCACAATTATGTTATCAGACGATGTAACAGTAAGGGCTAATTGGACACTTGATGAAACATTTAGTTTACTGATCTGTGCGTTATACTGTACCATGACACGTACGAGAGACCTACCATTACGACGTCGCAGCAGCAGCAGTAGTCGTCGTCTTAAACTGAACCATTTTCCGAGTCATTTAAGTGGAATAAAATGGACGTCATATATAAGACCATCTTCTGATTGTTCTCTTTTAGTTATAGTCAGTCTCCTCGTCCTCTACAGTGTTAGCATTGAGTCATTTTTGGTATATGTGCAACCACTTTAGTACAGGATCATGAGTATCGGTGATTATGGTTTATGAAAAGGTGGCTGGGATCACTGGTGTACCTTTATGTAATGTGCTGCTACACCATGTAGTTGATCCAGGAAACGTGTCCAGACTAACTAGCCTCGTAAGAATCGTAAATTTCTTAACATGTTAAATTTTTCTTTTCCTTGTTTCTGATTATTAGTTTGGCAGAGATTTATCATTTTGACATTTACTCCGTTATTCACAAAAGCTAAGGTGTTGTGGCTGAGTAGATAATGCTCGCCTCCTATTTTGATGACCACTGGTTCGTACCTAGGGGACTCTTAGTTCACCCTGTTATAAATGAGTACAGTATCGACCAAGTTATTTCCTTGTGTACCGAAGGTTTAAGTATACAATGAATTGTATCCGTCGGACTTAATAGCCCCACCTGCACTCTACAGGAACTTAACCTGCTCAGTCGGGTGCAGATAAGCTACAGTTCCAAGGTTAAGGCGACCTTACTTTACCTGTATTTTTTCTAACAGGGGGTAACTGTTCTTGGTGAGGGTGACGCTCGCTGACAGATTGGAAACTCAGTGTCTCTACCGAAGAGTAATAACTATCAAAATGCTTTATATATTTATATTTTCACGTCATACAAGGATTGGATATCAAGAGAAGTGTCACTGTCCTGCCTGTCTTGGATATTTAGAGGATTTCTAATGCATGCCATTAAAAAATTGCTAAGCCGCCAGTTGTTGTCATTTCTGCACCGTGGCGTGTAGTCAGGCCTGTTCACTATCAAAGAAAACGGTACCTGTCGGAGCTCGTGACTACCTCTCTGGAGGAGATTACATATTGTACTGTGCTGATACTAAATTTTAGCCTCAGTAATTGTCATTACTATTTAAGTTCTGTTAAAATAATTCATAGTGTACAATTTCTTTCTGTGTGCCCAGGAAAATAAAAGTGCTTTGCATAAATAGCTTTCATTATATTTTAACAGAAGTTAATTACTCATGTGGTTTATTTTATATTATTTCGATTTCAACAATTTACTACTCTTGCGATTGTGTTTCCAAGAATCTTTATTGATTGTGCTGAGAATGTGTATTCTAAAAAACTTACATCGTACAAAATACGTAATGTTATCAGTAGCGAGATACACATATTGTGATATAGCCGAAGTCAGTGTTTTTATTACTGCTTTATCATTACCGCAAGAAACGAGGTTTAATTAATTAGTCACTAAGATCAGCTATTAGTTTTTCTTAAGTAGCCTACTAAAATTATATTCAGCTCCCTTTATGTTAAATGCATATCCTAATTAATTTTTCTAGCTAAGCATAAACCTAGAGGAACTTAACTAACTTATCAATAATTATCTACCAATTAAATGCTCACTTCCATCGTATACTTAATGACCTACTTATAACGTAAAAGCCAAGGTCAAGAGAATACATTACATGTATTTTCTAGAGCTTGGTACTCGCTTAGCCTAGTTAATTGTATAATTTAATGTTTATGGTCTGCAAGATTGATTGATTAGTGGTGGTAATTACATTCCTGGCGACGCAACATGTTAGGTTAGTCTACAAGAGGGTCAAACAACCACAGAGTTTATATTAGAGGACTAGATATTTTCTACCTCCACGCCCACTGATAAACAAATTATATGAAAATAAGCACATGAAAACTATGACTGAAAGCAATATTTGTCGTTTTCCCGCGTGGCAGCTTACTACAAAGTGCTCTAATGCTAACGGCAAAGAAAGTAAAACGGACACTTCCTCAAAAAATGCTGAATTGTTATAACACTTCTATTTTTATGCTATTTTTGAAATAATATAGGCTTACCTTTTAAACATGGCATTATATAATGTTGATATTGCTTCATTTTTAATCCCTATAAGTCTTCTTGGTATTGGTAGTCCAAGCATATATTTCAAATTCTCTCAAACGCAATGGCAGCAACATATTAAGGCCTTTTCAGCATTTATTAAGTCTTTCCTCTTGCACAAGTGTATCCATCTTCACCTAAGTTCTTTATCCTTCGTAAAGTGATGGAAAGTTATATTACCCTTGCTTTTAATTTGTGATAAACACCAAAAAAGTGTGGGGAGTTTGGTCACTACTCACGTCATGAACACCGGGAGATTCCGTTTTCTCTGATGAGTGAACAACAGACCTCGATGGGAACTTTTGCCAGAGTACCAAAATATTATATGATGGATCCTTTTCTTTAAATTTACTCATATTACTGACCGAGTATTGATATAATAATGAGAGAAGATTGTTTGTAGTATTGATAATTGTGGTCATATCACTTTATGTAACGAATAATTTACATTAAACAAACAGCTGCCAGAACTAATATACCCATTGGTAAGGAAGAGTTTAATGACGAAATGATGAAAAAGAAAAACTGAACAATCAGGTTTAATGAATAAGATAAAATATTCAAGACAAGGGCCCATACAGTCACAATCCTCATCTAAGACAACAAGCGCTATCGGCCACCATGGCACAGGGATATTTCAGTTTCAAGGACGCATGAACATTGCATTAGGATATGAGAGGAAAAGTGACACCTTTAATGATCAAGAACAACCGGTATATTGCGGAACGTGGAATAACCGGTATATTGCGGAACGTGGAATAACCGGTATATTGCGGAACGTGGAATAACCGGTATATTGCGGAACGTGAAATAACCAGTATCATGGGGAATGTAGAAGAACCAGTATCATGTGGAACAACCAGTATCATGAGGAACGTGGAATAACCAGTATCATGAGGAACGTGGAATAAACCAATATCATGAGGAACGTAAAATCAACCAATATCGTGAGGAACGTGGAACAACCAATATCATGAGGAACGTAAAATCAACCAATATCGTGAGGAACGTGGAACAAGGAACATGTTGTGACGCCTCATAACACAACTCCCAAGGCGAGAGACACAAGAAAAATAACAAAGGAACGAGAACATATAAAATAAACGGTAGAATCATATAACTTAAATAAATAATCGTATACATTATATAAATAAACACAACTAACAACCCATTGTTCTAGCATAAACAAATGAGTCTTAGCCGAGTTTTTTTGTTTACAGATATACTTTTTATAAGACACACAGGCAACAAGCTTGGTGTTCCTACTACTCTGATCACACTTTTACACTAATGAGTATTGCATCAGGTGACATCACGGTCTAGGGGCAAGATGGTACAATACATAGTGACCTTCAAACCAATGACCACACACTATGACAGGATAAAACTAAACACTAAGGGGCACGACGAAATAAGAATATAATAACAATATTATCCTAACCTTCAAAGAAAAATCTAATTTATTCACAAAATCTATCATTGTCTAAATACTATTTTTAATGGGGTTTAGCTGCTTGAGAGGGGCAGCTGTTTTGTCTTTCGTGTTTGCGAACTTGTGAACATTTAATGATGTGGTGTGGAGCTCGGCCTGTTGGTCCTGGTCTTGCGGTACTCTTCGAGGGAGGACCTGATCGTCGAAGCATACTTGCTGGTGGGCCGCGTCTCAGGCACTAACGTGGTAGGTATGGTAGCCCTCCCAGTGGTGAAGGTAGTGGACGAAGAGATGGTGGGTGGAAGAGGCCGCCAGGTAGTGGGTATGAGGGAAGGGGAGTAAAAGGTGTAGTAATCATCATTTTCTTTAGCTCTTGAGGTTTCGGTGTGATACTGGTGGTTAGGGTGCCGCTTGGCCTCCCACTCCTCAACCTGAGATGGTTCATACTCTCGGTGCACATAGTCGTTTTCATAAGTGTGCTCCGCGTCATACAGATAGTCGTCTTCAGAGGAAGTGTAGTGTCTTCGGTCGATGTGTTCAGCGGGCTTTAAGGGTCGTGCGGATGGCTGGGGGCGTGTGGGGCGATGAAGATAGTGAGGGCTCAGGTCCAGGTGACTCCGTGTACGGTAGCGGGGTTTTGGGTGTTGACGCAACTGAATGGTGTGTTGTGTTGCAGGATGAAGACCCCAGTGTTTCTGAGTTGGCCGAGCATATGCCTGTTGGGTCTTCAGATAAAACGGACGGGAAGTTGCCCGACGTGATACACCAGGTACCTTTAATGTCGGGTATGGCTGGGCCCGGTAGGGTAGTTCATGGTGGTGGTCGGGGCTGGGGGTGTACCGGTGGTCGGGGGAGGTCTCAGCGGCTTCTACAGCTGGCAGCAAGTGATGGCGGGTGTCGCCCCACCCCATCATCTCCTGGTTCAAGTGCTGTGACTCAGACCTGATATAAAAACAAGTATAAATCAACGATGATTAGACGTGTCAGTGCTGTAACGCACGAGTGTGACGGCAGCCACGGTCAACACTCCACGACCCGTGTCATGAGAATTGGACACTCTTTTTTTAAGAATAGCCCACCCAGGCACAGGTCAATGTCCCAGTTGTCCCACATCGGGGCCTCGGGGGCGAAAATATAATAATCTTCATAATAATAATAATAACAATAATAATAATAATAATAATAATAATAATAATAATAATAATAATAATAATACAGAACCATAAATAAAAACAAACATGAAAAAGTGATCTAGAGTGACAAACGATATATAGTACAGTAAGTATTTTGTGTTGTCAAAGTAATAGAAAAAATTATTGAGATCCAGCAATTGTGTGTACATGAGACAGAAAGTTAGATCAGCAACCTGGGACTTGGTCACATATGGCAGCAGGGTCCACCATTAGACAACACATTATGCTTCCAATATCTTCCCAGGCGGTAGTTTGGTAGCTGCCTACTACCCATTATTGTTAGCGTCATCATCCTATCTAGGAGGGAATTTCCACGAAGCACTAAAATACGTTTCTTAATTACCCAAGAGCATTATAAACACACACACACACACGAATAATCCAGCATAAGTAAGCATAATTAAATAATTGTAAGTAGAAATATGAAGAGTGGAAGTCAATAATAATGATAATAATAATAATAATGTATCATTAGCTTGTATCTCTCCTGGACAAACATCTGGTGAAAATAAAGTTTTATTACATTCGGCCGCCAATTCTCTACCCGAGGGCCATGACCTGCAGCCCTTGAGGTAAGAATAACATCTGGCCTCTATTTCCCGTGTTAACACTTACCAGTTCTACCGAAATAATCTGTTTCTTTTAAAATTCATCTCCAATTGTAATTTTGCCTTGAAAAAATTGTAACTTCTGTTGGCTGGATCCCGTTTTAAAAAGTAATGTAGTGTTGTCTAAAATTTGAACGTAATCTAAAAACTAAACACCAAAATTACAGCAAGGTTCAGTGTACGCTATTTTATAATGAGCTGTCAGGGGTGACCTAATTCTATCTGTTACGTGTTCCTGTTTTGAGTAAAATATACACAAGCATGCGAATGAGGCGTCAGAACAGCTGACGGAACAGCTGGCAGAAGTGCTAAAACCGTTATGCATCGTTCATCACTGGAAAATTACCTAAATTAAAGCGAATTTAGATTATTGCGCCATTACATGTACTGCGTTGGTAGTGATGGTAGTAGTAGTGGCAGTGGTAGTAGTAGTAGTTGTAGTGATGGTTAGGCGTAGTTGTGATTGTTTTATATAACACAGTCACGGCACTAACTGTGGATCACAAACCTCACATAGTGGGTGAAAATCAGTTGTGTGATTACGACTTTTACATGCTACAGTCCAGTACTAGGCCAGGTCTACAGTCCAGTACTAGGCCAGGTCTACAGTCCAGTGCTAGGCCAGGTCTACAGTCCAGTACTAGGCCAGGTCTACTGTCCAGTACTAGGCCAGGTCTACTGTCCATCCACTACTCCAGGCGAAGATGAGAACTGCAGTTTCGGGTGACAATCAATACAACACTCCTCTACTGTACTGTGTTGTGTGTGATGCTTCTCTGGAGACTCCCCAGTGGACAACCTATCAATAACAGTGAAGGTCGTACCATGAACAACGATCTATACACATAGGAAGGCATTGTGTGGACATGATGAATACACTGAAAATTTGGTTCATGTATGGCGAGGAAATATGTCGTCCTAGAATTAGAATACCGCATATCAGGAACAAAGTATGTATCCCTTTACCCTGAACAAGCTACGGAATAAATAGGTAATTCACATTTTACGAAGGTGAATAATTAGCTTATATGGACTTTTATCTAAGACCTGGCGTGTCTGTCTGAGTACTAACTTATTGTCATGAGTTTACTTCACAATCTGCACAGGAGGAGCATCACACAACTGCTCTGGCTCAAACTATGTGTGTGTGTGTGTGTGTGTGTGTGTATGTGTGTGTGTGTGTACATTAATCAGAGAATATAACCATCTGTTTGGAAGTCATTAATACGTTGAACTATAGTCCCATGTATCCCGGACCACACACTACACCACACAACCAAGGACAAGGTGCCGATATACATTAATTGACGGCAAATGGCCAATAACCAGCCAGTAATTACCTGCTTCACCACAATGCACAGGTGGGCGGAAGTTGGGGGGACCGGGGGTGATACACAGCGGCCGTAACCAAGGTCTTTAGCCGTAACCTTATGATAGTTAAGGATCACTTCCGTAGGGCCGAGTGTTATAGCTATCCCATACAATGATCTGACGCATGGCTTTGTCTAGCAACCAGTGGCGTCACATGAGCAGACACGCACACAAAAACAACGCATAAGAGCAGTTGAAAAGTACTAACTAGTGTTCCGTGTTATGAATATCCATAAAGATTCTCTCAGTGGACCTTCCTGACGATCACTCACATATGCCACACCGTCACCAAAATATACATAAGACACTAGGTTCAGCCATTCATCGGTGTGTCTGCTTCTTGTGTGTAAGTTCAGTGTGCATGCCAAGTTGATATTAAAGTATTATATTAAAGAATTTTGCTTCATTAAATTGTTGTATATGATGCACAGGGGGGAGGGAGTGTCACCTTGGGGTAGCGCCATTCATCACAGGTTCCGACACATTCTTCAGGTACTTGACCGGGTCACCACAAATGCCTCTAATCTCTCTCCCTGTTGTGTAATAGTGTCCCCGGGTCCTTATCACAGCCAAGGAATTATGCATAACTGGTATTTATCAAGTTTATGGAAAACCTGTGAATTGTTTAGCTCACTGTATGAATGAAAATGGTGTTAAACGATGAGTTTTGTTGTGGTGGATGTTTACCGCTGTTCATAAATATTAACAAGAATATGGTGGACATGCTTATTATCCTCGCCCGCGAAAAAAAAGGAGTGGCGAGGGCAGTGTGTTAGTGAGTCAGTTTACTTGTGTGCATCTGGAAGGAGATACAGATCTTGTTGTGGTGGGAGGCGTCACAGGAGGAAACAGCCTCAGTAATACCCTACTACAATGCTGGATAATCGGAGGTACAGTGGCTATAAGTGGCGGGCCACTAGTGCCTGAGAGCTCAGCACGCCATACTGGCGTACGACGTTCTTGAGGTACCCGGCGCTCCTCGCCCAACTGAGGTGAGGCACATAAGCACGCCTGTATACTGTACTGCACTTCAGTAACCAATTTTCAACCTAACTGTCAACATCCAATATAAATTATATTTTCGTTAAGAAAATGAAAAGCGGTGTACAGTATTTATATCTACCTCAGTAACCTGTATGGTCCTCCAGACTTTATGACACCATTTTTTCTGCTGAAGACGCCGTTGTATTTTAGATTAATTTTTCTTATAATAATAAAGAAATAATATGGATTCCAATAAATTAATTCCTCTCTGAATCTAAACAAAAGTATCAATATTTATTTAATATAAGCCACATTATCCTAAATAGAGTTTAGCCATCACTACTCCTGCTTTAGTATACTATAATTAGATTTTCAACCAGATTCTTCCCCACCACCTTCAAGAAATTATCCCTCAGTATATTTTAGAAAATATATACACAATAACCCACAGCTGTGAGGAAGTACCCGCTACAACCCTGGTATACACTTCTGGAGCCCCGCCTAACACAACTTCCCTGCACCAGTGTTAAACATGAAGGTGCACTCAACCACTGCTTACGTCCCTGGTAGTTACCCAAGAATATGACAAGCTGTACTTCAATACCCTCGCTGATCTGTGAGGGACCACAGCACTGCCAACTTACTCCACATATGTGCCCAACCCGTCTGTTTCGAAGATGTCGTTTTCGAGATAGGCGAAGGCGGTGGTAAGGAGGAAGAACAAGATGATGACGAAGCCCAGCGACTGCACGTTGTTGACGCTGTCAGTGTCCAGGAGGGGTAGGAAGATGAACTTGCCGTCGCCATCACTCTCCTGCAGGGACAACACCAGTACAGACGTCACACGTAACACCATGAATGTAACAGTAGCAGTTCTGTGTTATATTACACGCTGATGTTCATTATGAATGGATGAGATTAAGTGAATTACAACTATCATCTTTGTGATAATTATGAATAATTTATCAGTCGAAACAGTCTATACTTTACAGATATACAGAGAACGAGTCACGATCACTGAGTGATGTGTGTGTGGTCACTCCACGTCTTTACATCAGTGTGAAACCTAAAATATCCTCTTGGCTCATAGTTTATAAACATGGAAGAGGAATAAACGCATAATAAACAGATGATAGTGATGTAACTATGCAGGGAGCACCCGACAATTCTTCTGTATGTAATAGTAGCATTATATTAATTTTTACTAATGGGATCATTTATAAAATTATAAAATACTAACGCATTGTATTTTAAAGGCCTCTCTTTTGTGCTAGATTAAATTGTTTATTATTACAGAATAAAACACTCGGTGATAAAGTACTAGTTACAGCAGATTGTGACGGTGTAAAATAAACATCATTCATTCCTTACCTGGTTCCCGTGCTGTGCCGCCGCTCCCCCTCGATTAAAGACGCCAGTAATATACGAAGTGTCGATGCCCAAACTCTTGACGAGGTCCATGACCTTGGAGAGGTCAGTGCCTCGCAGGAGCTTCACCACCCGGGTAGGGTCCAGGCTGCTCAACATTTTGGGGAAACTAGTCAGGTCCAGCTGAGGGACCATGCTCATGGCTTCCCGCACGTTCTCATCCTGAATAATGTGAACGAGTGTGTTGAGCAGCGCCGCATCGTCCCTGAAGAGCTGGTCACCGAGCGATTTTGGAAGACCAAACTTTTCGAGGAGTGTCGGCATCATCGCCTTTAGGTGCGTCAGTCTTGTTGTGTTAAGCGAATTACCTGCTAGGTCTGCTGGGGAGGGAGAAGGCTGGGGACGAGAATGTATGACAGAAGGAGCTTGTGTTGGTCTTGTGGGTGTGAGGACGGTTGGCGGGAGAGAGGGTCTTGGTGTGACGGTTGTGGATGGCGGCCGTCGAGACATATTTTCACTAATCGTCTTTGTTTCCTCCACAGGGATGATAGAATCCATCTTAGGGAACATAGAATCGTAAAATACAGAGAAAGGATCGTGGTTTATGAATGTTTGTTCTTGATGCCCTGTCGAGTCGTAGCTGACACTATCACCTTCAGAGGGATAACTGCTGCCATGTTTTTCTTCGTCTTGTTTATAGTTGTAGCTGAAGTAGTCGTCGTAGTGTGGCATGTCTGGCGCAGCAGCAATGTTGTCTTGACTTAAGTAAGGATTACGAGGTGTGTTGGACTCGGGTCTTGAGTGCACTCGGTCCAGGTCAGAGTACGGCAAAGCACCCACCTGACGCAGCCCGTGCATGAAGTAATCATAATCCATAACAATGTTACTCTCCCCAGCGTCGTGTTGACCCTGCTGCTGTTGCATGTGGTCGAGGTTGTGTGCATATGACTCGTCCAGAAGGTTAGCCTCCTTTCTCGACTCCCGGGCAGTGACGTCACCCACCAGCCACACCATCACCACCATCACCCACCACAACATCCTGCCGAGGACCGGAAATTGGTTATCAGTGACATAAAGCAAAGGAATAAAATAAATAAGGACGAGAATAAGAAAAAGGTAGAAAACAGAAAGTGAACAATAACAGAGAATGTGAATAATAATGAGAACTGCCATACTAATGATTATGTGTTTCACTTTTAATTTTACTTCGGTTGTGTTGTTGTTGGTGAATTATACCAAAATGAACATCTCTTACAACAAAACACAGCATAACACAACACATCACAGCACATCACAGCACAACACAACATAGCACAACACAACACAGCACAACACAACACAACACATCACAGCACAACACACACATCACAGCACAACAAAACACAGCATAACACAACACATCACAGCACATCACAGCACAACACAACATAGCACAACACAACACAGCACAACACAACACAACACATCACAGCACAACACAGCACAACACAACACAGAAGTCTCTCTTAAAACAGCCACAAAAAAAGATCCTAAAAAAAAAACCGTCGACTTAAATACAACAAACTTCGCTATATAACAACACACACACATAACAAGTCTGGATTCATTTCTAAATACGACTGAGAATTTTTTGATCACGTTACGAAACTTCCATAGAGGCATAATTTATTTTTCGTATCAAAAATTTACAAAACGATTTTTCACGTTTTAGATTATTTTTATAGTTTCATCAGTTTCTTGAATTACCGATTATTTGATATATATATATATATTTTATCGATGCCTTTTATCTAACAGCCAGAGCCTAGTCGTCCTTCTCTTGTGCTCACGCAGTTCACGAGACAATAACACCAGCGACAAGACGAAGTATAGTGGACGACGGCGTGAGGTCTCTCCCACGACCTCCCTCACCCATCAGTCACGTCGTGGTCACCAGGGCTACCACAGCTCGCACTAGCTACTACACAACTGCCACAAAAAATCTAGAAAGTCACATACATTTGTGAAGACGCCGCAATATAACTTCGACTAATATTATACCGGTAATGGCCTATAGAGAGTTGATGAATATACTGATAGTAACTCATATATTATATTTGACTATGGTAAACACGGTATATTTCATTGACTGCTTATTCATAGTGTAAAATCCAGTTTATGCCTCGTTGACTAAGCCTTTTCAATATGGCAGACTTAGGATTTTGCGCGCGCGTGTGTGTGTGTGTGTGTGTGGTACCTCTCGGCCACCCACCATCGGCTCACTTTCTGCCTGTACGTTAAAGTCTCCAACTCAATACTCGTGTGCCTCCCTATACTTGCTGCCATTTAGGTATCATGATCACTACCTGTCAGCGTTGAAGTATCCTGCTAACCATTTGCTGGCGATCTAGTTTTCCCCTTTTACTATTTCCTGACAACGAAAGTCTATTAAATCAAAATTCTGTAAAATAAAAAAAATCAGGAAGTATGCACAGTCGCTAACCGCTCACCAGCTCTCCTGCAGCTGGACTCCTCAAGCGGTACAGATTGGTCTTGATGTCTAGTGTTAGTTAAGAATGATTCAGATGTATAGAATGTAAAAGACGAAATACAACAAACTCCTAATTATAAGTAACATATATCAAATTACCATTAATTGATGTATTGCATTAATTGTATGGACTTTCAATACTATTTATATAGTTCAAAAAATGTAATTGTCTGATGTATGTGAAACAGTTTAGAATTATTAAAGTTCCCGACCAGACTTTTTTTTGGTTGGTGTCATGTAAAAGTTAGAATTTTACTTCCGGGAGGTTTTACCAAGCATCTGTCTGCGTGTTAATCTGCTTCAATTGTCTGAGTTAACTGTCCGAGAGACGGTGCTCTCATGAACATTAGAAACCCTAATTTATAGTTAAACTCCTTAATGCTAGGTTAGATTAGGTTAGGTCTGGTAAGTGGGGTTTTCGTCATGAGATCAGCAATCTTGTTTTACCGGGTACATAAGCTTTGTCCTCCTACGGTCAGTGTAGCAGCGATTATATCATAGTGAAGTAGTGGCCACAGTGTAGTAGTGGCCATAGTACTGCACGAACAGTGGCAACAGTATAGTCTTAAGTGGCAAGTGTAACACTACAGTGGCTACAGTCACACTACAGTGGCTACAGTGTCACACTAACAGTGACCACAGTGTAATACTAATAGTGGTTATAGTGCAGCACTAACAGCGGCCACAGTCTCACAATAACAGTGGACACAGTGTCACCTCACAAGCCCAGCCGGTAGACCACAGGTTCGTCAAATGTAAAGTAAGTGTGAATTGATGATTATGTCGCTGTGAAGTGGAACTTGCCACGCCTGGCCTCTGTGTAGTTACCACCACTCGCCGTTAACCACTAGCCATTATTACCTCAGTTTATGACAGAAAATTCGTTTTATGGGCACCTAAAATATACACTGCTCAAAACTGCATTATTAACCACACGTAACAGAATGCTATGTAACAGTCAGTAAACCACGTGTGATAGGTCAGGTATTGTTTGGCCAAGAGGTGTCCACTACCGTATACAGGAAGTTAATCTGTTGCTACAATAACCTTTTATATTAAACAGAAAAAAAACATCAACACAACTACTATTATGATTACTATTACTACTACTAATAATAAACTAACTGTCACATTATATTATACGAGAGAGGCAGTAACAATAAGATAATTACCCCCCTGTGTCTATTACTGTCATCTGTAACGTTTACCCACCACGCAACTATGAGGCTCCTGTGGATCTTGATTATACATTATATTCCTTAAACACTTTTTATTAACACCATCCCTCTTATCTTTCTTTATTATATCACCCCCTCCTCCTCTTACACATCATTCATCTTTTACTTCTGTTCCCCTTGTGTTAAAGTCTCTGTCCTTTCGCTTTAAATATTTCCACTGCCAGTCTTCAAAAGGTAACGTTGTCGAAATCTCTCTATCACGTCGACTTTTACCATTTTCTCCCTCACTCTCTTCGTCAGATTATTCTTTCTCACCATTCTCTCCCTCACACTCTTCGTCAGATTATTCTCACTGTTATCTCCCTCATTCTACGTCAGATTATTCTCACCGTCTCTCAATGTGTTCATCCGGATCTTAAATCACCTTGGTCTCTCCCGCCACTGTTTTATACATAAAATTTTCTACTTTTGTTTATACTCAACTTATTATTACGATTCTTGTGGTTTTTTCCTCTGTCATTACATATTTTCTTTTGTCTTTACGCATTTTTTTTTAATATTTCTTCCGTTTACCTACCAATTATGGATTTATTTACTGTGTACGATTACTCGACCCGTGTACTGGACTTCTGCCTTCTTCCCTTTCTATGTAAATCTTCGCTATAATTGATATTTTTTCTTTTATCTCTCATGCTTCATTATATAGTTTATCTTCTATACATCAGAAATGGTCTCATAGTGTCACGTGTAACCCACAAAACATCTTGACACAACCTAGTAACTCCCTACATGTGTGTGTGTGTGTGTGTGTGTGTGTGTGTGTGTGTGTGTGTATCACTGAAAGCAAGTGCAATTAACTCCATTATTTCAACTCCTGAATGTCTGAATATCCAACTCGAGTGAATAACTAACGATGAATAAATCTCCTACATTTAATGAATTTTTGTGAATATTATACTTTACTGAATGTGACAACGGCTGTCTCCAGCTATCAAAATATTTTTAAGCGTTAGAGTCGTTTTAATGTCGAAAGTTCCAGTGGTTGTGTGCATAATGGGTTGTGTCTCGGAAATGGTGAAGGTGATGTCACATTTAATAATTGGAGTCAAGGTGAGAGCAATAAGTCGTGCCAGGAGACTTGGCCTGTATGAGCGCCTCAGGTATTCTCCACAGGGCGCCTTTATCTGCCACACATTTCTACTTGGATACTGACTAACTAATAGATGAACCACCAGATATTAAGTACGGTTAAAGTTTTAGATTTCCAAGTTATATTCAGTATTTCAGATTTTTTCACTACTATCAACAACAATAACACTTAGTATGACTGTTAGTCGTATATAACTCAGTGCTGAAATACGTCTTGACCTTCAGATTACGTAATTGACAAGACCTGCCAGCAGTTTGGGCTGTCATGAATATGCAACATCTGTGTCGCAGAGATAGCGGGTCAAACATTAACCGTAGTGATGAAGACAATGAAGGATTTTTACTCTACAGCGGTCTCTGTAGTACAAAGGCAGTTAAATGTTTTATGCCATGGTGCGTTCCCTGACTGTCTCTTTCTGTAGTAATAAAGACATTAAGGTGTTTTAGTCTCACCCATCTTCCAACACACACTCTCTCTCTCATCACCTGACCTCAGCTTTTTCCCATCTCCCTCCATCGATCTTTTGTTCATACTTTCTCCCCACTTTTCTCTCCAGGGTGTACTACTTTCCTCTGTCAACGTTGTTTTTCTGCTATTATAATTATCCACAGTATGATCTACATATTAACTAACCAGGGTGGCGTGGGTTTATCAGATCTATATTTCAAAGTGTTGTCTGTTTTACTGTTAAATATACAAGACTTTTTTCTTCCCTTTTACAAGTAACAGACCGTCTATTTAGCTGCAAATTTCTACTGTGCCTTTTATGGTAACCAACACACCTCTGGCGAGAATAGTTCCTCCCACCCACCTAACACTCACCCAGGCTCCCATGACAACTGAAGTGTGTTACCCTTTACCCTGACGGACTTACACACCACTATTATTACTCCTGGGCCTCAGAGGTGCTAAACAAGTCTTCACATCTCCTCAGCTAACCTGTAGGTAAGTGTTAGCCAAGGATCCTAACACAGAGAAGCGAGAGTGAGACCAACACAAACTGGGGCTTCACCTGCTAGCCAACCATCTATCTGCTGTTACTTAAGTATTCTGTCAAGGATGTGTAGAACTACTGTGTTCCAGGACAATGTGTACACGTTTAGAAGTACTTAATGGACGAATATAAAGCGCGCACACACACACACACACACACACGTTACTGGCAATTCGTCTTATTTTCATTCTTATTATGTGTCTTGTCACAACCCACTCTCGAAAGACATGAGAAAAGCAAAAATAAATGAGACTGAATAACACTAAAGAAAAAACTAAAGCGGAGAAAAGATAAATTATACCCCAGGCAGCAGCTGTTTTAATAATAATGCCTGCACACCCCCATTAAACCCATGATATTATATATGACAAAACAGCTGCAGGATAAAAGACAAAAAAAAAACTAAAATACGATGCATTAAATTGAAAATAATACATATCACAAAGAATTAACGTTTGTCAAAGTCACCCTCACAGTTCCGCACCGAAGCAGTAATTATAGGTTAGGTTATAACTGGCATATGAAATATATACGTTCTCAAGTTGCGTTAAGTGGTAATTATAAGAGAACTAAATATATCGTAAATGTCTGGTTTAAACATTAATTACAGTACCATAACAAAGAATGAAATATTAATACGATATTTCTTCTCTCCTGGGGAATATTTACGATACTGATTAAGAGAAAGATAAAAGTGAATATTTCTCCCTTGGCTGAATATTATAGTTTTTTTTTTTTGTATTTTACTTTATATAATGAGGTGTTATTAATAGAGTGTAACAAATAGAACGTTACAGTGAGTTAACTGGTGGTTACTGGAGTGTTACAGATGGTCAACAGGTACTACTGAAGTATGGCCCTTGACCCTAACCTAACCTAACCTAACCTAACCTAACCTCTTATATCCATATACTGTACTACACATTACACTCCCCTCACACACTTACTCCTCTCACACACACACTTACTCCTCTCACACACACACTTACTCCTCTCATATACACACTTACTCCTCCCACACACACACTTACTCCTCTCATACTACACCATCACTACCACTAACAAAAAATATAATGACAGTTTCCCCATGTGTAACGAGGATGGCTGGCCCGAGGACCATCCTAAGCGTCAATTTGTTTAAGGTGTAGAAGCTGTCGCCAACACAACAACCACACCCTAAGTTATCGAATTGCATCACCCAGTGTCAAGGAATAGTCCTAGAAGACCGGACAACTCGCCAACTGCACTGGCTAACCATTAGCCCGGAACACGATCAGCAAATCGATTAACATCCAGGTCCCCAATTACTGCTGGGTAGGCAGAGGCAAATGGCGTAAAGAAACTTGCCCATAGTTTCACCCTGCCCTGGGATCGAAACCGGGTTCGTTCGCTTGCGAGGCGAATATGGTGACCATTACACCACTGCCACACTACGATCACTATAACTATCACTACCACAGCCACACCACTACCACTACCACAACCACCACACCACCATTACCACCACTACCCAGCACCAGTAGCACCATTACCACACACCACCAGTATTATAATGTAACCAATTTCTATGTTAATGTGTCAAGTAGTGGTTGATGCGTATGACGAGATGACTCTTCCACAACCACAGAGCAGGGAAACACACACACACACACACACACACACACACACACACAGATGAACAAGTGTGAGTGGTGACAGAGGCGGCCCAGGACAACTCACGCATCTGTCATAGTCCAACTGCTTTCTGGACCACAAGTATTTGGGATAAAACTGAGAAAGGGAAGGGGGGGGAGGAAGTGGAGTGGCGGAGAGTGAAAATACAGCAGTAAGGTGGGGAGGTGGGTGTCGGGGGCTGACTGGGTGAGCGGGATAATGGCCACATCACCACAGACGTTTATTGCCGCATAACGTATTGAGTGGCAGCAGTGGGAGTGGTGATGTCTGAAGGCCACGAGGCGGAAGGGGGTAGTGTTAGCTGGAGACGATGGTGAACAGCGAGGGTCAACACCTGCTGCAGTATTTGTCGTTGTTACACGCTCTGTCCCTGCCCAGATTGTCATTGGCAGGAGAGGCGAGACTCCTGCACTACTGGTTCGTTTCACCTTCCGCACCATCAGGAAAATAGATTCAATCTATAATGTGAAAAAACTATAACAGATGACACACAGATTTACGTGATTGTAGATAATAATCATAAAATGCAAAACGGTGGTGAGGCCGCCGTGTGCAGGTAAAGGCTGGGAACCTGTGTGTGAGGCTCCAGGCGTGCACACAACTCACCACCCCAACATTATTGTAAACGAGTGTGAAGAAACCTTAACACTACTCACCAAGACCGACTATTAACTCTCAGTCTGCTAAACTCGTCTCAGAGGAGTCGAATAAATTCCTTTAGTATAATATAGAGTTGTATTGTTAGCAGTAAGAATAAATTGTATGAGGTAAAGAATTACATTGATATTTACTGTCAGACATAATCCTCTCTCACTATGTATGAGCGGTACACACACGAGGGAAGAAGATCAACTTCATTTTTAATGGTGAAAATTTTGTGCATTGTTTTATTAATAGGGTTTACATTCATGGGGAATATATATAACAACACCTGGGTGGTCTGTAAAAAAGGACTATTGCTTTGTGTGAAGCTTGTCCAGAGAGAGAGAGAGAGAGAGAGAGAGAGAGAGAGAGAGAGAGAGAGAGAGAGAGCTCTACTTGCTGTCCCAAGGGTAGCCAGATAAATGTAAGGGGTGGCAGCAGTATCGTGTTGAGTGGTTTACATTGTGTGAGACGTAGCAGAAGGTGGTTCGCCCTGGGTTACTGAACCAATCATGAACTTGTATGCAGTTACGGTAAACAGTGTTAACCTGTTAATTAACTCTCAACACTCTGACATGAACCTATAGTTTTCTCCCGAAATACAATGGAATCACCATTAACCCAAATTCTTTACGATATCGACAAAACTGTAAAACAAAACGCTGAAAAAATTATGTATGAAGAGACAAGCTACAGGGAGTGCGCGGGTTAATTTACATGTTGATATTACAAAACTTGCAGGAACATTTGCGGCATCCAACCGTCCGTCAGGTGGAGGGGTGGGGGAGCTTACTGCACACCCTCACACGAGCCTTCATATGGACTCTCACACCAAACAAGTCACTCAACGAGGAAAGCTAATTAAGGGATATAGAAAAAAAGGGTATTTCTTCTACACGAGCGGTGGTGAGACACGCCAGCCACACCACAAGACGATTTCTACACAATTACTGGGACGCTGAGGATGGCGGCAAATTGGTTAGTCTCTTAACGTCAAACTCTGGCCAACACTGCTTCAGTCATGCAACTTGCGCATTAATGATGGTAATTCAAAAAGAGGTTACTATTTGACTGCTTGTTAGTAAAAAAGTATATTTGATAATGTAACGGGCCTGAGAGAAGTATCAGATGACTCCATGAACCTCCGCCTCCTGGGCAGTTTGCATGAACACTTCTCTTAAATTTACTGGAGCTGTTTCACACAGTCTTTGTGTTCTTTCCAGTGTTCGTTCTTTTAGCAATGCACGCCTTCACATAATTCATTTCTATCTAATCAGGGGTAGAAATTCACATTCGCCCAGCCGTCCGAGGTGACCAAAATATCAGAAGGGTGAGTAGATTTTAGAAATTTACTGTTTTTTAATCGCCCGGCTGGTGACTAGCATGTTAGACTCGCTGTGTCCAGGAGCTATCCAGTAGTTTTGAACAAAAATTTATATTTTTGACAGTCTGCTTTACCAGAAGGAAGTGATTGGTGCCCACTTTATAAAAAGCATTGCAAGAGCAAATGTGAAATGTACACGTGAATCCGCGTACTTGGTCATTGGCCCTGCTGCTCCCAGGGAGTCGGCAATTTCATTTCAACTAATACCTCCGTACAGTATTGACGTGATGTCTAACTAACACAGACATTATAATTAATTATCATGAACAATCAACACGATCTCGATCATTCCAGACGTCATGGTATGCGGAGTTTGACTCATCCAGAAAAGCTAAGAACTATCTAATGCTTCTAACCAGTGCTGCTGTAATGAAGTACATCCACCTCCTCCTGGGTATCTTGCGTTGCCTTGGGCCTACCAGCAAGAGTGAAAACCTACCAACAACAGTGAAAGCCTACCAACAACAGTGAAAGCCTACCAATAATATTAACCAGTATAATTCAGGACAAGATGTGGGAAAGGCCACCACCAGTTCTCCCGTCCTAAGCAGCCACTCCTGCTTTAGCGTCAGGGTAGATCGCTAGCTGCCGTGTCATTTCTGAAGTGTGCAAACGATTACACCCACCAGGTTACTCAGCAAATTCTCATTACATTTGATTTATACATTAAGTCTTATATAACAGTATGTAAATTTTATCACAGTACCTTCATGCGTCCATGTGAAGATGCTTGCCTCTGAGTGTGTGTGTGTATGTGTTTTTCAAGTAGTGAGTGTTCATCATTCATTACAGATATAGCCCATATTATCCACAAAAAAAACTTATTTGGTTTGATAAAATATTTAACCTATCCAGCTACATTTCACTACACGACGCATGCACGCATTAAATTTAAAGTGGAACACGCAAATGACGCGATGTATCTGAAAGCATAACTCGGCCGGGCTCTAAGGAGGAGGAATGACCCGACCAAGTTTCAAGAGATAAACAATGAACCGTGACAGACGGACACGACGACCCGCGGGTTTCCATAATATCTCGAGTATTGGAGGGAAATAATTGACAGTATTTTAGGGGATATTTCCAACAATAGAGGTAAAAGAAAAAGATGTAAGCAATGGTTAAGGAGGATGGACACGATAAAGCGACACACGCGGGAACACAGTTTGAATACCTTACCTTGATGTTTTCCAAGCGTTCATCAATCTGTATTTGCTATAATTAGGCAGAAAAATTTTAAACTTTCTTCTCAGCGCTGGGCATATCACCAACGACCCATCATTATAAGAGTTCCAGAATCACAGTATCGCGGTAGTGTTGCTCTTCAAACCTGTGTTCACTCGTGAGCTTCACTTGATTGCCACAATAAATGACAGGTTTACAGCCAGCAGTAGCAGTGTCCTACGTGACGGTATGTGTTTAACCAAGCCACACCCAGGAGAACTGGAGTAAATAACAGAACATACAACGTACGGTCAGCTAAGTCAAGCAAGTCTTGCGTCTGGTTCTGATTTAGTCAATTTCAACTCGGACGATTGTGTGGAGCGTTTGAGAGTTGAGCCCACCTCAGTGTCCGGAGTGAGACTGCGCTGGAAAATTGGTTGTTGCCACCATATGTAGGTTGAAGGGCCCAGCCAGGCTCTCGCTCCTGGTCCTCTGCCACCCCAGGAAGGGAGAAGTGGAACCTAAATATGGTACACCAATTTTTTTTCATCTCAGCTCAAGTAATCGCTTTCTATAGGCACCTGCTATTACAGTCATTGTGTGAAATAAGATTATCGTGTTTTTCCTTCAGCGGGAACTGACATATACCCAAGTAATTTCATGACTTGGAAATTATTTTATTTAGTAATGTTTCAGTTAATATCCAGGGTACCACTGACTACTTCAATGAGAAAGTAATGACACGAAGAAAAGTCTCTCGGTGGTGAAGGATGATGATGAGGGAGGCACATAGTAGTGGTTGGCACACGTCCCGGGCTACGATGTTCGGGACGAGGAACTGCACGACAGTGAATATTGCAGCACTACTTTGAAAATGAGTTCTCACTTCTGAAATCCTGTGTAGCAAATATTTTCAGAATAGGAAAAACAAATTTTGGCACGCGTTAGAAGGCAAGTTACCCCAGTGTTGAGGAAAATATATATATATATATATATATATATATATATATATATATATATATATATATATATATATATATATATATATATATATATATATAGAGAGAGCGCAGTTATGGCTGCCGCATCACGTCTGCCGTCTGCCGGAGGTGAGCAAGGGGGGCATTATAATACAATACAGTACAAGAGATTCAGTTTACTTCATGTCACGCTCGTGTATGTGATTTGAGAGGAAGTGGGAGCTCTGTCAACTAGTGAATCAGTCAATCATATAAACTAAAACTCAAATATTTTGAAGAGTTTAACTTAATTTGCCATTGGGGTGACCATTATTTTTTACATCTTACTATGAAGAAAGAGTTTTTATGTAAAGTGTTGTGTGCAAGACAATGACAAACTAGTTACAAGACACTTGCGCGCGCACTAACGTACACACACACTTTAACGCGCATACAAGCTACGTGACCCCCATCTCCATCAACCATTATGTCACTTTAAAAATGCTTTTCGATATATTCGTCTAGCGAGAGTGTTATATATATGACCTGCATCACTATATTATACCCCATCCTTTAATACCACATCACATGACATTATCCCTCAGTGGAATCCTAAGGTCTCTAGATTTACAAAGCCAAAATCTTTAACAACCAACAAATGCAAAACACAAATATATAATCGGCATGAGATAATGGAGGTCCGTCTTTCACAGTAGCTACTTGAGATAATGGTGTCTGTCTTTCACACTAGCTACTTCAGATAATGGAGTCCGTCTTTCACAGTAGCTACTTGTTGTATTGTGTGACTGTGACTGGCAATGGCTGGGATTGTCCTGACTGTGTGACGAGTTAGTAAGATCGATGTCATCCTCACGGGTTGTGTAGGTCAGGAACCAACCGTTACTTCCCCACCCCTG